TTTAATATGTTTCCTGATTTAGTCCACACACACACACACACATAGTATAATTGTAATGTATTTCACAGTTTAGTCCACCTACACACCCTATAGTTTTAATATGTTTCCTGATTTAGTCCACACACACACACACACATAGTATAATTGTAATGTATTTCACAGTTTAGTCCACCTACACATTCTATAGTTTTAATATGTTTCCTGATTTAGTCCACACACACACACACACATAGTATAATTGTAATGTATTTCACAGTTTAGTCCACCTACACATTCTATAGTTTTAATATGTTTCCTGATTTAGTCCACACACACACACACACACGTCGTGCACTTTCAGTGTATTTCACAGTTTAGTCCACCCACCCACCCTATAGTTTCAACGTGTTTTATAGCTTAGTCCACACGCACAAACGTCTACAGTTTCAATGTGTTTTCTGGTTTAATCAACACACACATACGTCTACAGTTTCAATGTGTTTTATAGCTTAATCCACACGCACAAACGTCTACAGTTTTAATGTGTTTTCTGGTTTAATCAACACACACAAACGTCTACAGTTTCAATGTGTTTTCTAGTTTAATCAACACACACAAACGTCTACAGTTTCAATGTGTTTTCTAGTTTAATCAACACACACAAACGTCTACAGTTTCAATGTGTTTTCTAGTTTAATCAACACACACATTTCCTACAGTTTCAAGTGTTTAGTTTACTTCGTTTTGTATACCATACATGCTGTTAAATGAGTAAAACAATTAGAAACACACCACAGTAGGGCTTGCTAGACCAAATTCCATTCGGTAAACATGTAACCTCGTTGTTTCCTTGTAATATTAAATTTTTAGCACACTGTAGTTGACACTTTATTCCCTGCTTAGTCTCGATAGCACAGTCTTCGTTTAATTTGACGCTTCGAGGTAACTGGATTTCCTTACAATTAGTCTGGGTGTCTGTAATTACTTCCTTTTGATCTTCTAGTTTAGGTACTGAAAACCGTAAAATGAAATCAGTTAGTGCAAGAAAAATAACATTGAGTCTAGTTGGTTATATGTATATACAATCATATTAGTAGCACTTTTTTCTAACTTAATGCCAATTCATACAATTTGGAATCGGATATGACGTCTTTTTCAACTTTGGTTTTTAAAAAAATAGTTCAACCCCTTTAAGAGAGACGCCAGTAAAAAGTTTATTAGCAATAAGGAAAATTATTTCAAGTACGAAAGAAAAAAATATATTACAACAGAAAATGAACATAGATATTTGGGTATGGCAATGGTCTCAATACAACCCGAAAAAAAATAATTCGACCGATCAGTGTACAATGTATGATTCCATAAAATTTGGCCTTGTTAACACAAATTGACAGTTTAAAAATCTTCCTGTATTATAGTCAATGTTATAGCTTTAAATGATTCCACTAACTAGTATGTATTAGCATCTGCTACAGTGGATTAAAAGCCTTTTTTTTTGTATGACGTTTCGATAGTCTGTGCGTCCATGATTTAATTAATAATGGTAATGTAAAACCAGTGTCATCCTTTATAACTATGGTCAGTATGTTATATCATAATC